CCCTTACTTCCGGTGTCCACCACCGGGTTCGGGGATTGCCACCACGACAGGCACCGGAGACCTTACGGCCACAGCTCCGAATGGCCGCATCGACAATGGAGGTGGAGAATATGGTCCACTTGGACTCGATATCTCCAACCTCCCCAGGATCTGGTCAAAGCTCTGCCGGAGGCGGGAGTTGAAGATCTCTCTGACAGGGGATTCTGCTAAACGTTCCCAACAGACCCTCACAATATGTTTGGGTCTGCCGAGTCTGTCCAGCTTCCTCCCCCGCCATCGGATCCAGCTCACCACCAGGTGGTGATCAGTTGACAGCTCCGCCCTCTCTTCACTCGAGTGTCCAAGACATACGGCTGGAGGTCAGATGAAACAACCACAAAGTCGATCATCGACCTCCGGCCTAGGGTGTCCTGGTTCCATGTGCACTGATGGACACCCTTATGCTTGAACATGGTGTTCATTATGGACAAACTGTGACTAGCACAGAAGTCCAATAACAAAACACCACTCGGGTTCAGATCGGGGGGGCCGTTCCTCCCAATCACGCCCCTCCAGGTGTCACTGTCGCTGCCCACGTGGGCGTTGAAGTCCCCCAGTAGAACAACAGAGTCCCCAGTCGGGGCCTTTTCCAGTGCCCCTCCCAGGGACTCCAAGAAGGCCGGGTACTCCACACTGCCATTCGGCCCGTAGGCACAAATGGCAGTGAGAGACCTATCCCCGACCCGAAGGCGCAGGGAAGCGACCCTCTCGTTCACCGGGGTAAACTCCAACACATGGCGTCTAAGCTGGGGAGCTATGAGCAAGCCCACACCAGCCCGCCGCCTCTCACCACTGGCAACTCCAGAGTAGTGGAGAGTCCAGCCTCTCTCAAGGAGTAAGGTTCCAGAGCCCAAGCTGTGCATGGAGGTGAGCCCGATTATCTCTAGCCGGTACCTCTCAACCTCCCACACAAGCTCGGGTTCCTTTCCCACCAGTGAGGGGACATTCCATGTCCCCAGGGCTAGTCTCGGTGTCCAGAGATCGGGTTGTCGGGGCCCTTGCCGTTGACTGCTGCCCAATCCACTGTGCACCAGCCTCTTACGGATCCTCCTGCAGGTGGTGGGCCCACAGGAGAAAAGATTCAACAATGAAAATAAATATTAGTTCCATCTTTATGTACTACATTCGAATGTCTCCGTTTGTGACAAAAGAATATAAAGAGCTAACTACACCTAAAATGTGAGATGAACTTAGCATGTTTGCACTGCTAATGAGAAATATGAGCAACACATCCATCCATGCATTACTTTGCTATAATTTTAGAATGGATAATACAGTTAGAATAATTTTAGTTTGCTCAAAATTCCTCCTACCAAACTCAAACCACAACCAGATTCTAGAAGTGTTTGCTTACATAAGTATTGTAAAATGTTTCTGCCTGAGCAATAGCTAGAAGTTCACATTTTGCCAGGTTAGTCCTTGTGAATGCAATAGCTAATGTTAGCCATTTCAATGTCCTTTTATACACCGTACATTTCAGAGCGTGTCAGGAGGTACAGGATGTGCATGATGAACAGCAGAACAACTCTAAATTGAGTAAATGCATTATGCAGGTCCATATAATTTGATTACTTCCCCCTTTGTGACTGATACAAGCTCAACATTTTGTAAATGAGATGTTGAGTCTATCCATGTTTTTTTAATTTTTGAGTAATTTATGATTAGTGCAATAATACTGTCACTTCAATAAACGGTTACAACTGTATTGTAAATCTACTGAGCTAGACTAAACTGATTTTTCCTTATATAACAGTGAGTAATCAAAATGGCTGCCACTGGCTCAGGAGTTGACAGAGCACTGATGTAGCTTCTAAAGCCACAGACCGAGTCCTGCAGTGTGTTGGTTTGGCTCACACTGAGCCCTGATGGGTCACAGACAGACCGTGGCCCAGGCCATCTCCTCCTCCTCCTCCTCCATATTCCCCATCTCTTCCACCAGGTCTCTCTCCTCTATTTATTGAACTTAACTCACCCACAGTAACTCATGACTTTTCTTTATAAAATATTCTACTCCGCAAATTGACTACATTTGACATTAAAATTGCATAAACAGTTTTAGCTATACTAAATATTGCTCTTCTTTCTTTTGCTCCCTGTCCTGTTCACGCCTTGCTCTTTTGCAGTCTCCACCCGGTTTGTTCTTTTACTCATCTATCCTGTTTTTCCTGCAGGCAACATCAATACAACTTAAAGGAATGGAGAGTGGAGGGAGGAAACAGAACAGAAGTTTTTTTTTTTCCTCTGCTTGGACAGAGGTTAGTGTGGAAATGTAATGAATGGTAATTTCAGGGCAAAACAAAGACAGCAAAAGAAGCTTTAAAAGAGAGTGAGAGCTGGAGGAAAATAGAAGACAGTAGCTGGGTTTCCATCAAAGTATAGTTATGAGAATTGTACTTAACTCCTGTTATTCTGCACACCATGCACATACTGGATGCTACGTGTACAGTTGTTTTTTTTATTAGACGTACAGTACAGTATGTGTGCTACATTTCCACTTAGCATGTGTTACCTTGGCAAAGGTAACTTCCACTGCTGTGGTGGCACCATTAATACTGAAAACAAGATTGGTCAAGAGTTTAAGGATGGAAAAATTACTACAAAGACAGGAGCAGAGGTAACAGATGATAATTTTAGAGACAGAGACTTCACTCCACCTCTCTCATTTAGTTTTCCGGGAAAACTTCGGCTGCGATTTCCAGACACACACTGGGGTCACAAGAGCAGGCCGAGGTTGTGGACTGGTTTTAATTACGAACTGAACTGTAAGGCTTCGTGCCTCCGGGTGTTTGTGTGAGTGTGAGGGAGGATGTTGAACAAGGTGTTGTGGCTTATTGTTATCATGAAAAGGCTTTGTGAGCCACAGCCACCTGCTTTCCATCACATACAATTGCTCTGGCATGAATGACACACACACATACTCCCTGTTATTCCACATGCTGGGTCTCATGCTTCTCATATCACTCCCACTCTGTCACTTACAGTACACACGCAATAGAGCTTTGATAGAGATGTTGCAGTAATTGCTGACTGTCAGGGTGATGCAAAGCTCAGTGTGAGACAGGAAAACATACTGAAGCCATGACTAGCCTTCCTACTGGTTTACAAGTGGCAGTAAAACACTTCTCACATGGCTTCCACATCCCACTATTTTATCAAATCTGGCACTCATGCAACTAGACATCATTTACTTGTGATGTTTTCTAAAGATATGTCATGCATAAATCACACCCTGAGTCATATGACCTACAAATGAGTTGCACTGCATTGCTCAACCCAGAATTTGTCAGCAATGCCTTGACAATAAGTAAATGTTATGTTGTTCACCTAACAGTTGTCAAAATTTTGGTAACCCAACAGCTTGGCTATGCCAGAATTGGAGAAAAGGAGACAAGACATAGACCTGGAAATAAAGTGGCACTGAGCTGGCTGGTAGATGAAGAAAGGTGCTCTGAGGTCACACATACAGTGGGTACGGAAAGTATTCAGACCCCCTTAAATTTTTCACTCTTTGTTATATTGCAGCCATATGCTAAAATCATTTAAGTTCATTTTTTTTCCTCATTAATGTACACACAGCACCCCATATTGACAGAAAATCACAGAATTTTTGACATTTTTGTAGATTTATTAAAAAAGAAAAACTTTTGGGAATGATGCAAACAACTGTACATACAAAGCACATACTGAATGTTTATCTTGATCATAATACAGTACAGTAGGGTATGGTTACATCCTACAAAACTAATGACTCGGTCTCAGGGGACATCTGAAACTGAGCATGAAGGATTATGGTGTTTCCTGGCAAAGTTTCTATAGAATTAAATACTGGCTGTGTTGACTGTGACTCGTCAGCTTTAGTAGGAGACAAGGTACAGTTATAGACCTTGGGGACAGGACAGAAGTCTTACCAGCCAGGGGTGAGGGATCTCAGGGAGGGGCATCTGAGGTGGGGCCGGCAGACCACTGTGGATCTCTGACTTGAATGAAGGCTCTGGTGAGAAGGAGGAAGTGACAGAAAATGTAGCTGCAATTAGGGGAAAAGCTACTTTGACACCCTTTTTTTGGCTTTTTGACATTAAAACTGTGTCCCAACATAGCAAACACAGTCTACTTTACCCACTGCTGATTAGGAATGCACACCTTTAACCAAAAATAAGAATTCTAACCGAATAGTTCTATCAGTTAGAAAAATGTTAGTTTACTGTAAGACTACACGGCTTGCATATCAACTCATGGGGGGCATGGTGGAATACTAATCAGACAGGCTTCCCCAGGCTGGCCACTATCTTTGCATTCCTGGGCTGGGACATCGGTACCATTGGACTGAGTATTCCCCACCGTGGGTCTCACAGTAAACAGACTAACCCCACAGCATTTTGCTAGTTGAAAAATACAGTAGGCTATAAATTTCTGTTTTGTTAACCTCTTGGGGGGGGTTTGATTATTAAGCCAAGAACAGAGGAGGAGGCTTTCATTACAGCTCTCTCTGCGCTGGAAATTTCAATGTGTGTTTCCATGAAAATCTCAGTGCTCAAAGTGGGCCGGCACGCACAGGTATACAGTACCAGCACTTCTGCATTTTACTCTTTAGTGTACCGGTCTTGTGGCAAAATCTGTTCCCCAAACAAGTCTGTGCAGATTCTCAGTCATCCAGGTCATAGTAAACTGAAAAAACCTTAGAAAAAATCAACTGGAAAATAAAAATCTAAGTCCAGTTGATTTTTTCTAAGGTTTTTTCAGTTCCACAAACAAGATGCATTTCTTCTGTTAAAACTGGGTTTCCAGTAGCACCCCCTCTGTGGTTATGGTTAGGGGAAACATCTCAACGGGGGAATAGATCTTGACACAACACTGGCACTTCTCATGATATGATAACCATCTCAGAAAATATGGTTTCACGGTATTACACAATTACTACTTTCAGTTACAAGGACCCTCAAATGAAAACAGAGGGGGGGTTTTTTGCAAGTGACTGTGACAATCGATTGAGCTGGACTGGAGTGCTAGATTAACCCTAAAGAATAAACAGAGGTGTAAAGAGGATGTACCTTCACTTATGCACACACACACAGACACATTTGTGTGAGCTGGTAAAGTTTGTGTGTGTGTGTGTTTCTGGGGTCAGATCAGAATCAGTGCGAGTCCTTTTATAAGTCAGAGGTTAGCGAATGAACAATGTGGAAAAATTATTCTCAAAAGTGTTTGTTTTGTTATATCCAAAGTAATCTCACACTGCTGGCTTTAATTTCTTTTTGGTGGGTGAAGTTTTCTGAAATCAGCCTCCTTCTCTGCCATCTCTGCCATTCATGTGTGCGTGTGGAGTCTGACAGGCCGTCAGGGAAGAAAGGTGTGCAAGCATTGTGTTTTTTTCTTCAATACTGGTAATATCTGAATGCAACAGTATGTATGAAAACTGTCACTTTTCATACCATGGTATACCATGAAACCGGTTCACCTCTGCAACCCTAGCTGCCAGCACACTTTTCTGCCCTCTCCATAGGTTTTGAGATGCGCTGTATCTCACCTGGACAGCGGACAACAGCAGGGGGCGGTGACAAAGAGCTCCACCAAAAGAGACTTTTACTCCCCCAGAAGCAACAAAAATTAAAGTATAGATGGTCCCAAATAATTAATAACCATATTCAGTTTAGTTATATCAATTCCAATCATACACTTCTCCTTCCAGGGCACAGAAGTCGTGGTTCTCAGGTTTACCTGCACAATTAAGGTCTGTGCAGTACCTGCAGTTTTCAGAGAAATATAGGCTATGAGTGTTCCATTTTACTTTAAACTGTGTACTTTAAAAGGAGGTAACATTCATGGTCGGCATCTAATATGACAGCCCTGAAGTAACATGAGCTGCCTCGGGTCAACAGCACACAGAAGCTATTCTACTAGGCTGTTTTACTCCGTTCACAGTAATATTCTGTTCAGGTTCATGTGCTGTTGGTGTTTATGCCATGTTTGCACATGTAAAAATAAACTTATGGAAATAAAGTAATAATTGTTAATACTATTTGTAAAGGGTCACAGACACTTATCCAATCTAAATAGCCAAGCATTTGAATCTTGTTGATAATGATCAATTAATGAGTGTCAACTATCAGTCAGAAATAAAAAAAAAAAATGAGAATGTGCTTCCCTAGTGCTGGTTAAATGTCACCAGAACTGATTAAAGTTGCAGAGAGTTAGCAAAAGCAAAAGTATCAGAACATTCAGATATAAGCTGGTACTTCCACCATGTCCAAATTCCACTAACTTGTGGCCTTAAAGCGAAGCAAAATGTTTTGGAAGAGTTTAAGTGTATTGTGGCTCATCATCTCACCTTTATCAGACAGGACTCTGTGGAGGATGTTGGAGAGGTGCATCTTCTTCTCTCGGACCCCAGCACTCAGATACTCCCTGTCCAGCAGGTCCAGGAACAGACGAAGCTCACACACTAGCTCCTCCATCGCTGCAGAATAAAGACACAAGTTGTTACAATCGGGTCAGTTTTCTTTTAGACACTACTGCTGTTCATCACACAAACACAACTTCATCCCATAACTCAAGGGGACAGTTAAATTCCAATGGTGACAGACCATGGTTAGACGGCCACTGTTTCCATTGTTCACAGTCCACCACCAGAAACACTAATGGACTGTGTTTGGACATGAAGAACATCACTGTAGCGTGTGCCATCACCCTATTTAGTACAAAATAAACTACCAGACTATGCACCACAACATCATACACTGTTTACAAACTGTGATCACTCTGCACAATATTTAATGCCATTTATTCCCCAGAATGGAACATCACATCATGTGATGCACAGGACCTTAATTCAGATTCTGGCTTTAGAACAGTGGAACTATGTTCACAGTAGGATACATACAGCGCTGCTTGTGGTCTTTTTATCAGTCTTATATATTGACAAAATGAAAACTGTACACCTCCATCACCAGCCTTGTTCTTTAACAACCAGTACAAGAACCAGCAGCTAAAATACCCTGAAAGCCATCAAACCCCTTACACAAATAAACTACACACAGACCCAGGTAACAGCATTAACTGCTCATCATTCAATCTGTACAGTATGTTTTAGTTAAAACACACTGCTTATAACTCAAAATTACACAGACATTGAACAAAAGCAATGACAGTTATATAACCCATAAATGAGCAGCCAGAAAAGAGATGGAAAATCTGAGCTTTCAATCAATCATCAAACCAAACAGCAATTCAGTGCAGCACAAAGCCCCAGCAGGCTGGAACAGACTTGGCAACCCACCTGACGGACATATCGCAGCAGAGTTATAGCTGCTGGTGGAGAATACACTGCCTCCTCACTCAGAGCAAAACAATAGGAAGAAAACCAAACACAGTACAGTGCTAGAAGCTGAGGTATGCGTGTGCAGTATTTAACTGTGTGTTCATGCCTGTACAGCCTCACACACTCATATCTGAGAGCTTGTTGTGATATGGATGGAATCAGACTGGATTCATAAGCGTGACTTGTAGCTACCACACTCTGGATAGACATTCAGAAAACACACAAGTCTCAAAGGCTGAGGGTCCGGGCCTGTTTTGACACAGCTCAAGCTTGTTTTAAACATACGATTGTACTGAAGTGACAATATCACACTGGAAAACAGAGGCACATTGAACGGGGGCAAATAGACTTAATGATGACACTTCATTTTGACTCATTTACCCTCTATGTAATAAAGAAGAACTGACATTGAGAATTTCTTTTCTGTACCCAGCGTCACACTGAGGTTACGTGGACCCTGAAGAGGTGGAGGGTCAGTGCCTCACTAAGGTCACCTTGACTGTAGCTATTGAGGAAGGTTAAAAACGTGTCCTTGCTGGTTCCTTTTGTTGTTCTGGTATTTGACTGCACCCTGAAAGTTCCTACAGAAAGGTCATACTTAGTGCTTTGATCGAGGATACTTCAGCAAGGGGATGTTCACTAGGCGCCAACTAAGGCCAAATGTTTAGCTGTAACAGAAATAACTCTAGGTGACATTTTTTTAAGCCCTGATTGTGCGTCAGGTTTATATATTTCATACTTCTATAGAATCTCAACTATTCTGCCATATTTGGATCAGCGAGCACACCTGTGGTGTCAAACAAGCAATCAAGGAAACCAAATAAGTGATATGAAGAAGAAGAAATTCATTCAATTCCAACTAAAACACAAAACTTAGGATGGGTCACAGTCTGTCACGTGAAACTTTATCTGATATTTTTGTTTCAGTGGCAGCAGTGCAGGCTAATGCCACAGACTTATACAACTACCTAAAACCACTGCAAGAGAATACAGTATGATGATGAGTTCAAGGCCATGAAAACTAGCAGGAAGTCTAGACTAAACAAACATCCAAACTGGGAGCCATACACAGTACATCACCATGCCTCTCAAGCTGTCACAGAAGCATGGAAATCTGACCCTGGGGTATGCAGTAAAGATGTTGCTCTGATAAGTTTTGAAGTCATGACGCTCTTTAAATCAAGAACTGTGCAATCTTAATATATGCTCATAAATTGAGCAAAGTCCCACAAAAGATGAAGCCCTCAGCCACAAGTTAGCTGTGATATGTTTATGTTCTTTACATAATCATATTAAACTGGCTTACTTAACATTTGGACTAGAAGCACAGAAGGCCTACTGATTTGACCCAAGTGCTAAATGCCCCAGCAGTCTAAAACTAACCAGCCTTCCACCCGCTTTTACATGCTGGACTTGGGTTAGGGATTACAATGTACCCATAAAGCTTTTTAGAAAAGAATGGATGTTCTCACTGTGTTATGCCAGATTTCTACAATGATGCAACAAATCTCTTATATGTTATTCAAAACATGCCATAATACCAGATCTGATCATAAGTCACTCTGTCTATCACACAGGTATCTGTGATGAACCTATAACAGGTGAGACAGCTGGCAAGTGATGGAGGAGATTCATCAGAGTGTCTCAGTCTTATGACAATGAATTCTCCCGTAGACATTTATATAGGTTTGGATTGCGACCATAATTCTCTTCTTCATAGCTGCAGGAGAGGTTTGGTTATTGGACAGCTGGATACACAGCCACTTTCACACATTCCTCCCTTAATCTGATTATCCTACAGAAGAGAGAGGGCAGTATGGAGGGTTGGTGTTAGAGTCCAATAAGGAGAAAAAAGAAAAAGGGAGTAAAAGGTAACGCAGCCAGGAGAAAGTTTCATATATATAAATATGACCACATGAGGCTTGCACAAGCCCCAACCTCAACCTCAGTCGACACCGGTGGAATGAACTGGAACACTGCCTGTAATCCAGGCCTTCTCACCCGACATCAGTGCTGGATCTCACTAATGTTCTTATGACTGAATGGGAAGTAAAAGCAGAGGTCAAATTTGTATGTGTTGCTAACAATCTGTGTTTGCACAGGACAACTGTGCGCATGTACAGTACATCAACAATATGTAGAGTAGCTTGTTTTCTTTTCTACATAAGTTCAGCTAACCTGGCGATCCGGTTTTCACCATATTCCCAGAGTAATTTTCCAAGTAAAAATGGCAAATATGTATTGGGTTATACTTAGAAAATGCAAGGATTTTCTGCTATTCTTTGTCATATCATCTTATAGTAGTAATTCAGCTTACTTGAATTTTGGACTGTTGGCCAGGTTATTAAGCAAAAGTCTTAGGCCACCATTAGAATTCTTGTTTAAGCAATGTTATGATAACTCAACATTTTTATTTACTATAAAACAACTAGAAAATATATTAAACAGTATTACAAAGCACAAAAATCATTTGCTTCTAGAAATGCTGTGGTTTTTTAAAAGGTGTATGTATATCCTGTATTTTCTGGTTATATTTTAATAAAGAAATAAATCTAAACCTAATGGTGGCTTAAGACTTTTGCACAGTACTGTACATTTATCATACACTACTGTCTCTAATAACAGAGTAACACCTCCTCTAGGACTTGAAGCATCTTTAAGCCTCACTGGTCAGATGGGCGTTTCATAAATCATGGCCACCATTCTATCGGTCTCTAGAGGAAAGCAAATCAGCAAAACAGAAAAGCACTGATATCCTTAAGTGCAACTCTACAGAGTCAGATCACTTTCACCATGCCTGTTTTTGTATTACAGCAAAAACAGCCAAGCATTCTTTATTGCACCATTTAGTGTTTCACAGAGCACTGTGCAACCTGTGCAGTACTTCACCTCCACTGGTGGGGCCGACATGCTAAACCTGTGTGTGTGTCGTTTAAAAAAAACCTAAAGCCAGGTCTCCAGATCACCAAAGATTTCAAAGTAAGAAGAAGTGGCATGGAGAGAGAAGGACCACCCTCAAACAAGGCCTGAGGGTGAGCAGAAAAATACCTTATCGTGCAAACACAACACCCACACCCTTTCTTCTAAAACTTACTTCTTTCTTTTTCCCACTGTCTATCATTCAGCTCCTTCACTTCCATTTTCTCCTTGGTCTGTCTTTCACTCCAACTTCACTTTCTCTCCATCCAACTCTCCACCATATCTCCACATAATTCTGGTATTCCTATACATACAAACGTGTATGTACTTTTGCATTTTCTGTACATTTTAGACACCAAGAACACATTTTCTTGTACATGTATACAAAACACATTTATTCTGTTTTCAGATCTTTGCTAACATGCGTACTATATACTATCAATTCTATTTACATGAAATGTATTCTGAGCAGTGTGGTTTACTTCTAACCACATCTTCTGTGTCAGCACTAAGCCTGCATGACAAATGATGTACAAAAACAAACCCATTAAAAGCATCTAAACAGGTCAGAGGGATGTTTCACTGCAAGGTATTCTCACTCTGAACAAAGCGGGTTTTCCTGGGTGAGGTGTGTTTGTGGCTTTGTGCCAGGCAGCTGGGTCACGTTTGGGTCTCATAGAGAACTTAAGACCCTGCAGCTCCATTTTTTGTTGTCAGTGCAAAAATCCTTAGTCAGGTTAGAGGGAGGAGGCCTTTCTGCCCTCTTCCCAGAACACAGCTGACACTATCCCACTCTCTGTGTGTTTCAGGTTTCTTGTTACCAGCAGCGTCTTTAACACTTCAAGGCTGTTGTTTAAGCCTGGGCATTTAACAATTTTCAGGTTGGGATCTGCCTCCATACACACATATGCATAGACTAACCTGCATTCATAAACTGAACATCAAATATCACACATCATTAAAATGTATCCAGTTTCTCTCTCTGACTTCAGAGTGAGATTTCCCTTGAAAAAATGTGTCCTGCCCACTCTTACTGCAAACCATCAAAATAAAGCCGCCCCGCTCCTAAATAATCATGGGCTTTTAGTCAGTTGACTTCGATAAGTGAGGTCAGGTCTCTGGGTTTTATCTGGGATTAAAAGCTCATGATGCCAGAAATGAACTGGGATCAACATTCTTCTGGCAGCATGAGAAAATCTTATCATTTGTCCAATGCCGTT